TCAGAGGATGTCTCAGGCGAAATGCTTGTTTTCGGGTCCCGCTCGCGGGAATTCCAAGGATGTCTCGCGCGGGCCGCGTCCCGCGCGCAGGAATTTCGAGGATGTCTCGACTAATTCGTTTGTTTTGTCAGGATTTCTTAGAATTTTGACCGGATGTCTCGAGCGAAACGATTGTTTTTCAGAATTTGTTGAGGATGTCTCGAGCGAAACGCTGGTTTCTGCAAACTTGGGGATGTCTCGAGCGGGGGCCTCGTGGGGGGCCAGAATTCAGAGGATGTCTCAGGCGAAATGCTTGTTTTCAAGTCCCGCTCGCAGGAATTCGGAAGATGTCTCGCGCGTGCCACGTCCCGCGCGCAGGAATTTTGAGGATGTCCCGTAGCGCGTCCCCTTGGCACGGCCTACGGTGCGACCCCATGGCACGTCCCTTGGCACGTCGCCTGGCGCGTCCCTGGGGACGTTTCGCGGCGCGTCCTCCTGGCATGTCCCCTGTCAATTAGCTCTGGGGCAGCTACTATGTGTTCAGGAAGCTCGAGCTTCAGATCCAGATCAGTTCGGTCAGGACTTGGATGCAAAGGAAGACTCGCGCGCAGGAATTCCGAGGATGTCTCGCGCGTGCCGCGTCCAGCGCGCAGGAATTTCGAGGATGTCTCGACTAATTCGCGAGGTTTTGCAGGATTTTCCGTAGGAGGGCCAAGGAGAGGCCCCGAAGGCTCTGGGAGCGGCGACGACGACGACGACGACGACGACGACGACGACGTCTCTTGGGGTTCTCTTTGACGGTTTGTAGAGTCCACGCTTACATGATCGACGGGTCGAGGACAGCGCGACGACGACGACGTCGCGGTGGCGGCGGCGTCCACCACGACGACAAAGTCTCATCTTAGAGCCTTGCGTGGGGGGGTCTCTTGGGGTTCTCTTGGAGGGTCTCTGGAGGGTCTGTAGAGCCCACGCTTACACGATCGAGGGATCGCGGACAGCGCGACGACGACGACGACGTCGCGGTGGCGGCGGCGGCGACGACGACGACGACAAAGTCTCATCTTAGAGCCTTGCGTGGGGGGGACTCTTGGGGTTCTCTTGGAGGGTCTCTTGACGGTTTGTAGAGCCCACGCTTACACGATCGAGGGATCGAGGACAGCGCGACGATGACGACCACGTCGCGGTGGCGGCGGCGGCGACGACGACGACAAAGTCTCATCTTAGAGCCTCTCGTGGGGGGGTCTCCGGGGGTTCTCTGGGTGGGTCTCTTGGGGGTCTGCAGAGCCCACGCTTACACGATCGAGGGCTCGAGGACAGCGCGACGACGACGACGACGTCGCGGTGGCGGCGGCGGCGGCGACGACGACGACAAAGTCTCATCTTAGAGCCTAGCGTGGGGGGGTCTCTTGGGGTTCTCTTGGAGGGTCTCTTGAGGGTCTGTAGAGCCCACGCTTACACGATCGAGGGATCGAGGACAGGGCGGCGGCGGCGACGACGACGACAAAGTCTCATCTTAGAGCCTTGCGTGGGGGGTCTCTTGGAGGGTCTCTTGGGGGTCTGTAGAGCCCACGCGCGGTGGCGGCGGCGGCGACGACGACGACAAAGTCTCATCTTAGAGCCTTGCGTGGAGCGGTGTGTTGGGGTTCTCTGGGAGGGTCTCCTGGGGGGTCTGTAGAGCCCACGCTTTCACGATCGAGTGATCCAGGACAGCGCGACGACGACGACGACGTCGCGGTGGCGGCGGGCGGCGAGACGACGACAAAGTCTCATCTATAGAGCTTGCGTGGGTGTTCGGGGTTCTCTTTGGAGGGTTCTCTGGGGGTCGTTAGAGCCACGATTCCAACGTATCGAGTGATCGAGGGACAGCGGACGTACGACGAACGACGTCGCGGTGGCGGCGGCGGCGACGACGACGACAAAGTCTCATCTTAGAGCCTCTCGTGGGGGGGTCTCCGGGGGTTCTCTGGGAGGGTCTCTTGTGGGTCTGCAGAGCCCACGCTTACACGATCGAGGGCTCGAGGACAGCGCGACGACGACGACGACGTCGCGGTGGCGGCGGCGGCGACGACGACGACGACAAAGTCTCATCTTAGAGCCTTGCGTGGGGGGGTCTCTTGGGGTTCTCTTGGAGGGTCTCTTGAGGGTCTGTAGAGCCCACGCTTACACGATCGAGGGATAGAGGACAGGGCGGCGGCGGCGACGACGACGACAAAGTCTCATCTTAGAGCCTTGCGTGGGGGGTGTCTTGGAGGGTCTCTTGGGGGTCTGTAGAGCCCACGACGACGACGTCGCGGTGGCGGCGGCGGCGACGACGACGACAAAGTCTCATCTTAGAGCCTTGCGTGGAGCGGTGTCTTGGGGTTCTCTTGGAGGGTCTCTTGGGGGTCTGTAGTGCCCACGCTTTCACGATCCGACGACGTCGCGGTGGCGGCGGCGGCGACGACGACGACAAAGTCTCATCTTAGAGCCTTGCGTGGGGTGTCTCGGGGTTCTCTTGGAGGGTTTCTTGGGGGTCTGTAGAGCCCACGCTTTCACGATCGAGTGATCGAGGACAGCGCGACGACGACGACGACGACGTCGCGGTGGCGGCGGCGGCGACGACGACGACGACAAAGTCTCATCTTAGAGCCTTGCGTGGGGGGGTCTCCGGGGGTTCTCTTGGAGGGTCTCTTGGGGGTCTGTAGAGCCCACGCTTACACGATCGAGGGATCGAGGACAGCGCGACGACGACGACGTCGCGGTGGCGGCGGCGGCGACGACGACGACGATCCAGCGTAATCCAGGCCCCCAGCGAATCCGTGTGTTCTTACGTATGTGCCTATAGATTAGGCTTCCCAGGTCCACACGGCCCCAAAAGAGTTCCCTCAGGGCCCCCAAAGAGCTCCAAGACGGTCCGAGAGGGCCTTGGGATCGCCCGAGGCAGCATGCAGCACTACCGACGGTACGGCAGCAGAGACGACCGTGCCTTGCGCTTGTGGGACATCTGTTTACTCGGGTACACACGATACCTGCGACGCCAGCTCCAACACGTGCGTTCAGGCGAGTTCTGTTAGATGTATGGGAGGAGGAGGAGGAGGACGCAGAAGAGGAGGAGGAGGAGGAAGACACGTGTCAAGTCCTGCATTCGAGCTGCGCCTTCTTCCCGACATGTTTTTCGGGCGGCCGCCCCCGCAGCGCCGGGGCAGGCCGAGGGGGGAGCTGGCCGAGGTCACGTCGAGGTTCGAGCTTCGAACTTCAGAGTCCGAGTCTTGAGGCTTTCTGGCCCTCGGGGGCCGTCCTCGTCGCCCCGGCTGGACGCAGCTCCAAAAACTTGTGCGTTTGGACCCTTGGAGGGGGCCGGGAACTGATTGGACCCTGACCCCGCGGACCTGCGTGAGGGGTGGCACCGGATTTCAGAAATGTTGCAAATCCTTTGTGTTTTCGGATCCTGACCCCGCCGACTTGCGTGAGGGGTGGCACCGAATTTCAGAAATGTAGCAAGTCCCATGTGTTTTCGGACCTTGACTTCGCCCAGGAAGGCCCAGGAGGCTCCAGGAGAGCCCAGGAGAGCCCAGGAGGGCCCAGGTCTGGCGCGGCGCGTCCTCCTGGCATGTTCCCCTGTCCATTAGCTCTGGGGCAGCTACTATGTGTTCAGGCAGCTCGAGCCTAAGATCCAGATCAGTTCGGTCAGGACTCGGTTGCAAAGGAAGACTCGATCCACGACGCCATGGAGCACAACCGCGGCACGGCACATCGCAATTCAGCACGGGCAGCACAGCACTGGATTTCGGCACGGTTACATCAGGTTTCCCCGGGGGGGGGGATAACTCAGCTTTGCAACTTGGCACGTTCCTTGGCACGTTCCGTGGGGCGTCCCTTGGCGAGTCCCCCTGGCACGTTGCGTGGCGCGTCCCCTGGCACATCCCGTGCACATCCATTGGCACGTTCCGTAGCGCGTCCCCTTGGCACGTCCCGCGGTGCGTCCCCATGGCGCGTCCCCTGGCACGTCGCCTGGCGCGTCCCTTGGAACTTTCGGCGGCGCGTCTTCCTAGCATGCCCCCCGTGAATTAGCTCTGGGGCAGCTACTATGTGCTCAGGCAGCTCGAGCTTAAGATCCAGATCAGTTCTGTCAGGACTCGGATGCAAAGGAGGACTCGATCCACGAGGCTATAGAGCACAGTCGCGCCATGGCACATCGCAAGTCAGCACGGCGCAGCACAGCATTGATTTCGGCACGGTACATCAAGGTCGATACGCTCAGCATTGCAACTTGGCACGTTCCTTGGCACGTTCCGTGGGGCGTCCTTTGGCGAGTCCCCCTGGCACGTCGCGAGGCGCGTCCCCTGGCACATCCCGTGGCACATCCATTGGCACGTTCCGTAGCGCGTCCCCTTGGCACGTCCCGCGGTGCGACCCATGGCACGTCCCCTGGCACGTCGCCTGGCGCATCCCTTGGGACGTTTCGCGGCGCGTCCTCCTGGCATGTTCCCCTGTCCATTAGCTCTGGGGCAGCTACTATGTGTTCAGGCAGCTCGAGCTTAAGATCCAGATCAGTTCGGTCAGGACTCGGATGCAAAGGAGGACTCGATCCACGACGCTATAGAGCACAACCGCGCCATGGCACATCGCAATTCAGCACGGCGCAGCACAGCACAGCCCTCGGCAGGGTACATCAAGATCGATACCTTCAGTATTGCATTTGCCCGTCACCCGATCAGGTGTCTTTGAAAACGCTGCCATGTGTTACAGTTCTACATTCCTTTCCGGGTTCGTGGGTCGATCAGGTTCAGAATTTGTTGAGGATGTCTCGAGCGAAACCCTTGTTTTGTGTTATAGATTGTTTTTTCCTGGGGACATGATTTCTGAGGATCTCTCAAGTGGATTGCTTGTTTTCACGTGCCCAGGTCTTGAGGATGTCTCGAGCGAGACGCTTGGTTTCACGCCTCCAGGTGGCCCAGACAGATGTCTAGCATGAGGATTTGTTGAGGATGTCTCGAAACAGAGGCTTGTTTTCACGTGTCCAGGTCGCCCAGGCGGATGTCTAGCATGAGCATTTGTTGAGGATGTCTCGAGCGAGACGCTTGTTTGCACGTGTCCAGGTTGCCCAGGCGGATGTTAGCATGAGGATGTGCTGACAACGTCTTGAGCGAAACGCGTGTTTTCACGTGTCCAGGTCGCCCAGGCACATCACAGCCCTCGGCACGGTACATCAATATCGATACCCTTAGCATTGCAGCCTGGCATGTTGCCTGGCACGTTCCGCGGAGCGTCCCGTGGCGAGTCCCCCTGGCACGTCGCGCGGTGCACGTCCATTGGCACGTTTCGTAGCGCGTCCCCTTGGCACGTCCCGCGGTGCGTCCCCATGGCACGTCCCCTGGCACGTCGCCTGGCGCGTCCCTTGGGACGTTCCGCGGCGCGTCCTCCTGGCATGTTCCCTCTGTGTAGTTCTGGGGCAGCTACCATCTGCTCAGGCAGCTCGAGCTTACGATCCAGATCAGTTCAGTGAGGACTCGGATGCCAGGGAGGACTCGATTTACAAGGCTATATGGAGCACAATCGCGGCATGGCACATCGCAGTTCAGCACAGCACAGCCGTCGGCACGGTACACCAAGATCGATACACTCAACTATGCACTTTGGCACGTTCCTTGGCGCGTTCCGTGGCGAGTCCACCTGGCACGTCGCGCGGCGCGTCCCCTGGCACGTCCCTCGGCACGTCCATTGGCACGTTCCGTAGCGCGTCCCCTTGGCAAGTCCCGCGGTGCGTCCCCATGGCACGTCCCCTGGCACGTCGCCTGGCGCGTCCCTTGGGACGTTCCGCGGCGCGTCCTCCTGGCATGTTCCCTCTGTCGATTAGTTCTGGGGCAGCTACCATCTGTTCAGGCAGCTGGAGCTTACGCTCCAGATCAGTTCGGTGAGGATTCGGATGCCAGGGAGGACTCGATCCACAACGCTATATAGAGCACAATCGCGGCATGGCACATCGCAGTTCAGCACGGCGTAGCACAGCACAGGTACATCATCATCGATACATTCAGCATTGCATGTGCCCGTCGCCCAATCAGGTGTCTTTGAAATGCTGCAATGCCTTACATTTCTATATTCCTGTCCGGGTTCGTGGGTCGATCATGTTTGAAATTCCGATCGAAATAACACATGTAAAGTACAGGTTTTCGTGTGTTGCGGATGTCTCGAGCTGAACGCTTGTTTTGCGGAATGTGTTGAGGATGTCTCGAGATAAACGTTTGTGTTGCGTTGTAGAGTGTTCCTGTCCTGGGAACTAGAATCCAGAGGATGTCTCAGGTGAAATACTTGTTGTCACGTGCCCAGGTGAAGCGTTTGCGTTCACGTATACAGGCTGCCCAGGCGGATGCCTAGCATGAGGATGTGTCGGGGATGTTTGGAGCGATACGCTTGTTTTCACGCGTCCAGGTCGCACAGGCGGATGTCTAACATGAGGGTTTCTTGAGGATGTCTCGAGCGAAACGCTTAGTTTCACGTGTCCAAGTCGCCCAGGCGGATGTCCAGCATGAGGAGGTGTCAAGAACGACTCGAGCGAAACGTTTGTTTTCACCTGCCCAGGTCTCCAAGGCAAATGTCTGACATGAAGATGTGTTGAGGATGTCTCGAGCGAGCCGTTTGTTTTCACGTCTCCAGGTCGCCCAGGCGGATGTCTAGCATGAGGAGGTGTTGAGATGGTCTCGAGCGGAACGTTTGTTTTCACGTGTCCAGGTCGCCCAGGCGGATGTTTAACATGAGGATGTGTGCAGGATGTCTCGAGCGAAACGCTTGTTTTCACGCGTCCAGGGTGCCCTGGCTGATGTCTAGCATGAGGAGGTGTTGAGAACGTCTCGAGCGAAACGCTTGGTTTCATGTGTCCAGGTCGCCCAGGCGGATGTCTAACATGAGGGTTTATTGAGGATGTCTCGAGCGAAACGCTTGTCGCAGTAGAGCGCATCGCAGTCCAACCCGGCCCGTCCGTGGGGCGTCTTTTGGCGCGTCCCTTGCAACGTTCTGGCGTGACGTACCCTGGCACGTCCCCAAGCACGCCATTCGGCGTGGCACGATCCCCCTGGCAGATCGCGCGGCGCGTTCCTGGCACGACCCCTAGCACGTCCACTGGCACGTTCCGTGGCGCGTCCCTTGGCACGTCACTGTGCGGCGTGGTACAGAGCAGCGCAGCACAACACATCCCTTGGCACAGTAGCACTACTATGGATATCTTCAGCATTGCCATTGCCCATCGCCCAATTGAGGTGCTTCGAAACGTTTCCATGCCTCGCAGTTCTGGATCCCTGTCCGGATTTGTGGGTCGATCATGTTTCACAGGTGCGCTGTTGGGGCTGCTGCTGATGAAGCTAGACGCGGCACCACTGCGGTACCACCACGGCGCGGCATCACGCGAGTGCCAACATGCCAGAGTGTCCTGCCGGCCAGCGCGGCGTTGCCCTTGCTGCTGCTGCTGCTGCTGCTGCTTGCTGCTGCTGCTGCTGCCACTTTCATGGCTGCCGCCGTCGAAGCTGCCGCCCCTGTCTCTGCCCTTGCCGCCGCCAGCGCCGCCTCTGCCGCTGCCGCCTGTCGCCCGCCGCCCGCCGCCTGCCGCCGCTGCCCCGCGGGGGTTGGCACAGGACGCCGAGATCGCCGAGGCCGGCGAGCGGCCAGCCGCCTGGAGGCTGTTCCGCTGGGACGACCAGGACGAGGAGGCCCGCGGGGCGGGAGCGCCTCCGAGCGCCGCTGTCGAGCAGCCCGTCTCCAGCGTCGCCACGGTCTGGCTCGGCTCGGCTGCGGGGGGCCCTCCGACCCCGAGGCCTGGACTGGGCCTGGGGCCAGGGGCGGCGGTGCCCCCTGTGCCCCCTGGGACCTCGATCGGGGGCCTGGCCCGGGTGGCCGGGCTCTCTGTGTTCGATGCATCTGCGCGGAGCGCGGGGGCGAAGAGCCCCAGGGGCGGGCCATGACACGTGCCCCACCAGGGAGCCTCGCCGAAGACACGGATCATCGGCTCCCCTGGACACATGCATTGCTCCCCCCTGGGCTATTCGCCCCCATCGTCGCCTCCGCCTCATCCTCCGCCTCTGCTCGTCCGCTGGTGACCTGCACAGGACGCGGGTCTCGATTCGCAGGGCCCTGCCGGAGGAGAGCTCGTGGCTCCCTGCGCAGCCCTCTCGCGCCCAGGGCGCGCCAAGGCGGCAGTGCAGCAGCAGGGGCTCGGCCGCCTCGCCTACCCCTTCCCGTTCCCCTGCCCCCGCCATCTCCCCCTCTCATCCTTCCCTGCTCCCTTCAGTTCAGGAGGGGAAAAAACACACACAAATAATCGCCGTTTTTATATCAAATGTAGGAAAATGTGGGAAGTGGAGGGGAAGAACCTTGGGCCCCTCATCATTGGTGGGCAGGCCTGCGCGTTCCACCGCCGGCGTGCGGCGGGCGAAGTCGTGCCGACGGAGGACCCCTCCACGCGCGCCCCTGCCCGCCATCTCTCGCCTGCTGGCCATCGGGGAGGGAGCGCCGGGGCGGCGGAGGAGGAGGAGGATCAGTGCACGGGGGAGGAGGAGCAGAGGGGCGACTTCTTGGGAGGACATCGTGGTTCCCGTCCGTGTGCGGTCCCGTCTGGCGATCGTATCGTGCACGCCTCGACGCAGGGCGCGCTGGAAGCGGGAGAGGCCGCACTTCGTTGACGGCCTTCGCCAGTTGTTGTGTCTGCCCGGCGCACGACGCGCCACCTGCCGCCCTGGAGGGCATCGCTCCAGCTCGGTTTACCTCCGAGGGTCAGGAGCGGAAAAAAAAACACAGACACAATTGACTGTCGATCCCCCAGAAAATATGGGAAAATATGGGAAGTGGGAGGGACGACGAAAATCCTCCCCCCAAAAATGAAAATATAGGGAATCCTGTTATTTGTGTGTCTTTATTTGTGTGTCCTTGGGCCCCTTCAGAGGCGTCTTCCTTCGTTCACCGTGGCCCCATCCTGCTTGCTTCGTGGGCACCTGGCCGTTGTATGTCTTGCGCGGCCCTTGTGGACCTGTTGCGCAGTCTCTTTGGGCACCCGGAGGGGCCCCGACGTCCTCGACCGATCGACGACAGGAACGATTTGGTTTATGTGTCGGGATCCATACAAGCCTTTACCATGTCACCGTTTCCCCGCCTTGCGCGCCCCTGGCTTCCAGATACCGACGCGATCTCCCATCCTTCTCCTTATTGGACCCGCCAGCTCTCTCATTCTTCTCGGCCCCAGCCCTCATAACTAGTCAGGCGTCTTCCTCCCTTCACCCTTGCCTCATCCTGTTTGCTTCCTGGCTATCCCGCGCCCCCCTGCCTTCGAGTCGCCTCACTTCGGGCCGCTCCCCTCGGTACCACTATCGCATCTCTTTCCTGCTCTCGGGCTACCCGCCCGTTCTGCACTCCTCCTCGCCCCTGGCCTCTGCTTCTGGTCCGTGCTCACTTCGAATCCATCCTTCACCTACTAGCCGCAGTTACCAATTTGTGTGTCACCTTTGTCCACTGTAGAGCACACAGTGGAGTCACCAGGCTGCGTGCCCTCTTTTGTCTCTCTCTCTCTCTCTCTCCTCCTCGTTTGTTCTCCCTTTTTTGTTGTTCTATATCTCTGTGTGTATATATATATATATACATATATATGTATGTAGAAATATGTATACAATATCCTTTCTCTGCCGCACCCTCTCCCCTCTTCCCTCCCTGTCGCTGCAGGCACATCGAGATTCCGAGGGCGCGGCCGAGCGAAACAACAAATCCTAACAACTTTTGGCACTGGTGGACATCCGGCTCAACAGAAGAATGCCATGGCATCGGCGTCACCCCAACATACGTATACGACATGTGCGTCGCCCCCCCCCCAGGGGCGACGCGAGCAAGGAGAAATCTTACAGTATATGCGCCGTGGCGGGCGCTTCCTGGCCACACCGCTGGGGAAGCGATCTACTACAAGATGGGTCTACTAAATGTTCGGGTCGGACGCGCGCCTCCAGAGTGGACATATAGTACTAGTATGTCTCTGCGCGTCCCAATGGCCTCCCTCCCGTACATGGACAAAATATCCGAATCCTGCTGCGCATGATGCCCCCCCGGACCCCCATTTTAATATTCAATCGCTTCGCTCATTCCGCCTGCCCATGTTGCATGATCGCTACTGCTTCGCCGTGGGCCCGGGGCCACTGTGGCGCCGCCGAGGGGGAGGAGGAAGATGAGGTTGGGGAAGGGGAGGGGAGGAGGAGGAGAGGATGAGAAGGAGAGGAGGAGGATGAAGATAAGTAGGAGGAGGAGGAGGAGGAGGAGGAAGGGGAAGGGGCGGAGGAAGAAGCCTCTCGTTGGTTTCTTGTCTTGTTCTTGGGGCCAAGCAGGGTCGTCGTCAACATGCTTCTTTGGGAGGCCTCTTGGGGTCTTTTGAGAAGCCGTTCGGGGGCGCCTGGGAGGCATTTTTCCCGGAAAGGGCTCGAGCCCAGGGTTCTCTTTTAGTTGGTTCCCCCCGGTTTCGACGGCTGTAGGGCCGGCGAAATTCTTCTGCGATAAATAACGAGGTCGCGTAGGGCCGGGGAATTAAAATCTGAGGATGTCTCGAGCGAAACGCATGTTTTTCAGAATGTGTTGAGGATGTCTCGAGCGAAACGCTTGTTTTGTGTTATAGATTGTCCTCTCCTGGGGACCTGAATTCTGAGGATCTCTCAAGCGGATTGCTTGTTTTCACGTGCCCAGGTCTTGAGGATGTCTCGAGCGAGACGCTTGGTTTCACGCCTCCAGGTGGCCTAGACAGATGTCTAGCATGAGGATTTGTTGAGGATGTCTTGAACCAGAGGCTTGTTTTCACGTGTCCAGGTCGCCCAGGCGGACGTCTAGCATGAGCATTTGTTGAGGATGTCTCGAGCGAGACGCTTGTTTGCACGTGTCCAGGTTGCCCAGGCGGATGTCTAGCATTAGGATGTGCTGACAACGTCTAGACCGAAACGCGTGTTTTCACGTGTCCAGGTCGCCCAGGCACAGCACAGCCCTCGGCACGGTACATCAATATCGATACCATTAGCATTGCAGCCTGGCATGTTGCCTGGCACGTTCCGCGGAGAGTCCCGTGGCGAGTCCCCCTGGCACGTCGCGCGGTGCACGTCCACTGGCACGTTCCGTAGCGCGTCCCCTTGGCACGTCCCGCGGTGCGTGCCCATGGCCCATGGCACGTCCCCTGGCACGTCGCCTGGCGCGTCCCTTGGGACGTTCCGCGGCGCGTCCTCTTGGCATGTTCCCTCTGTCGATTAGTTCTGGGGCAGCTACCATCTGCTCAGGCAGCTCGAGCTTACGATCCAGATCAGTTCGGTCAGGACTCGGATGCCAGAGAGGACTCGATCCACAACGCTATAGAGAGCACAATCGCGGCATGGCACATCGCAGTTCAGCACGGCCCAGCACAGCACAGCCGTCGGCACGGTACATCAAGATCGATACACTCAACTATGCACCTTGGCACGTTCTTTGGCGCGTTCCGTGGCGAGTCCACCTGGCACGTCGCGCGGCGCGTCCCTGGCACGTCCCTCGGCACGTCCATTGGCACGTTCCGTAGCGCGTCCCCTTGGCACGTCCCGCGGTGCGTCCCCATGGCACGTCCCCTGGCACGTCGCCTGGCGCGTCCCTTGGGACGTTCGGCGGCGCGTCCTCCTGGCATGTTCCCTCTGTCGATTAGTTCTGGGGCAGCTGCCATCTGCTCAGGCAGCTCGAGCTTACGCTCCAGATCAGTTCGGAGAGGACTCGGATGCCAGGGAGGACTCGATCCACAACGCTATAGAGAGCACAATCGCGGCGTGGCACATCGCAGTTCAGCACGGCGTAGCACAGCACAGCCCTCGGCACAGTACATCATCATCGATACATTCAGCATTGCATGTGCCCGTCGCCCAATCAGGTGTCTTTGAAATGTTGCAATGCCTTACATTTCTATATTCCTTTCCGGGTTCGTGGGTCGATCATGTTGAACTTCTGGGGCCTCTTTTGGGCCTCCTGGGGGCCTCCTGGGGCCTCTTGGGGGCCTCTTGGCGGCCTCTCGGGGCCTCCTGGGGCCCTCTTGGGGCGGAAGGCTCGAGTTTTCGGTTCGCGGTCCCCCTCTTGGGGCCGTCTTGGGCCGTCTTGGGCGCCTCTTGGGCCGTCTCGGGGCCTTCTTGGGCCCTCTTGGGGCCCTCTTGGAAGCCTCTTGGCCCGTCTTGGGGCGCTCTTGGGGGCCTCTTGGGCCGTCTTGGAGCATCGGATGGCCGAAAAGGCGACAAGGCCAAAATCCTTCCAAAGCCATTATAAAATTGATGATTTTGGCCTCTTGGGCCCTCTTGTGAGGCCTCGTGGAGGCCACTTGGAGGCCTCTTGGGCCGTCTTGGGGTCATCATCGGCGTCTTGGAGCGCTCTTTGGGCGTCTCGGGGGCCTCTTGGGTAGTCTTGGGCACCTCTTGGGTCAGGAGGGGGGGTAGTCGATTGCGCCCCTCCCCTCGGAGGCCACGATCCTCGTGAGGGGTGTCGAAAAATTGCCCGGTCTGGCATCTCTGATCCGAGTGTCCCGGGGGTGTCCCAGGGGTGTCCCGGAGTATTTTTCGTCCGGGGACCCCCAGGGGCGGCCCCGCGCGCGCGAACTAGAATATTGTTAACCAGTTACTGGAGATCTTAGCACGCCCTTGGCCCGTTGGGCCGGCGAATTGGAGGGCGTGGCAAGCAAGGAGGCTTGAGTGGACAACATTGTTCGAATCCCCGAATCACCACCCATACCGAGTTCAACACTGATGTGGGGGGGCGGGGGGGGGAGGGGGGGTCAGTCTTCCTCCAAGATTTTCCATTGGGTTCGAAGATATTGCCCATGTACTGTCGGGGGTGGACAGAACCCCCAACAGTGACACGTCGATTAGTGAATTGTCCGTTCTCGGTTCTCGAGAGGGCGCCGTGGCCGTTACTTTCCAGGCCTGCGCCCGCCAGGTTTGGACCTCAGGTCGTTTTTACCTAACAGCGAAGACTGATAGGTTTCGAATGGTCTCAAAAGAAAGCATCTTGACTCCTCAGGGGGGTCTGGGCAGATGCCGGACGGGTGCCGGGGAGAATCCGCGGAAGTCGTTTTAAGCAAACAGTTACACACTTCGTGGTCTTCGAGGTTCCAGAACTCCATTCCTGGGCATGATTTTGAATGCCTGGAGCCAACTGTCGGCCACTTCGTGGTCGTCGAATTCCCAGAACTCCATTCCTGGGCATGATTTTGAATGCCCGGAGCCAACTGTAGGCCACTTCGTGGTCTTCGAGTTCCCAGAATTACATTTTCTGGGCATGATTTTGAATGCCCGGAGCCAACTGTAGGCCACTTCGTGTTCTTCGAGTTCCCAGAACTCCATTCCCGGGCCACATTTCGAATGCTGAGGCAGGCTGAGGCTGAGGCTGAGGCAGGCTGAGGCTGAGGCCGAGGCTGAAGGCAGACTGAGGCTGAGGCTGAAGCAGGCTGAGGCTGAGGCTGAGGCAGGCTGAGGCTGAGGCTGAGGCAGGCTGATGCTGAGGCAGGCTGAGGCTGAGGCTGAGGCTGATGCAGACTGAGGCTGAGGCAGCCTGAGGCTGAGGCCGAGGCTGAAGGCAGACTGAGGCTGAGACTGAAGCAGGCTGAGGCTGAGGCTGAGGCAGGCTGAGGCTGAGGCTGAGGCAGGCTGATGCTGAGGCAGGCTGAGGCTGAGGCTGAGGCTGATGCAGGCTGAGGCTGAGGCTGAGGCCGAGGCTGAAGGCAGACTGAGGCTGAGGCTGAGCAGCAGGCTGAGGCTGAGGCTGAGGCAGGCTGAGGCTGAGGCTGAGGCAGGCTGATGCTGAGGCAGGCTGAGGCTGAGGCTGTGACTGCGACTGCCGTTGCCACTGCGACTGTCATCGCGAATGCGACTGCGACTGCGAGAACAGCAGAATTCTACAACTGGATTCTAATCTGAATCTTGAGGGGAATGCTTCCAGATGTGCTCCTACACATCGCTGTTAGGTTGCTTTGCCGGGATAATCGCTCAACCACGTTTTGCTAAAGGGAGGTCTGTCCATCCCTGATACTGTCCCTCGTCGCTTCTCCTGTGTTCCATCGCTGGCGCCTGGCCGAGTCAGAGCCCCGCGCGGGTTTCGCGGGCCACGGCCTCACGCGCCTCGTGCCCAGAACTGGCACGGGCACGCGCGCCGCGCGGCGCGTGAGCGCCCGCACCGCCGCCTCACCCGCTCGCCCTTCCCTCTCTCTCTGCCGTTGCCTGGTCCACTTCCCCGCGCCAGCTTTTGAGTCGGGCATGTCCCTCCACAGGAGGGAAATTCAAAACTAGTCAAAACATAGTCTGGGGACGATATGTTTTGACAAGTGTTCCATTTTGTCGTGTACTGTTTTGACATGTGCTCCATGTTTCGTCCAAAATCGGCCTGTAGGGGGACATGCCCGACCTCATGTCAGCTTTCACAGCTGCAGTTGTTCCTGATACCCCGATGCCCGCCCGACCTGCCGGCATTCTCGCCTTGTACGCTCTGCCCCCAGCATCGAAGCATGAGCAACTCAACGTTCAGGGCTGCATTCCCTGACCAGGTACTGGGAGGATGCGCTGATACCGACGAGAAGTGGATCAAATACCAGCCCATTGTTTGACATAATCCGCCTCTCGCGCAAATGGCCCACACTTCTATCACTGCGTCCTTCCGTTCTCGTTTTCCTGCCAGCTACCCGACTGCCCGCCCGTTTTGTTTTCCCTGTCGCCCCAGCCCATTACATAAGATCCCAGCGCACTCCCTGCAACTTTCGGTAAGGCCTCCACAAGGCTTCCGCACACCGTGGGATTCCACGTTTTCGTTTAGAGTGCTTCAAGCAAGCATGAACCACTTCAGGATGGCCGATCATCACACACACACACACACTCACACACACATCCTGACTTCAGCGACCAGCCACCCTTACAGGCTGTGCTGTCCGCCAGCATCCATCACCCCTCCTTCCTCTACCCCTACACCCATCCTCCTTTACTTTCCTCCTCCTCCCCTCCTCTCTTCCCCCCTCCCCCCAGTCATACAAGCCCGCACGTGCGGGCAACTTGCTCTGCATCACGTCTCAGCGCTGTGCACACCCCGGGCACTGATCCCCGCACGGGACGGTTCTGCTTCGCGGACACTCGTGCCCCGAGTCCCGAGCCCCCCCTCCCCCTTCACCCGTTCCTCCCCTCCCCCCTGCGCCTCGTCCCCCCCCCCCCCTCCGTAGGGCCGACCCGCTTGGCACATCGCCTCCCTTGTCTGTCCCTCGGCCGGGCCGCGGGACATCGACCTGAGCGACGCTCCCCCCACCCTCCTCCGGCCTTGCCCCGGCCAGCCCAGGAGCAGGACGCTCTCATCGCCAGGCGGAAGGAGCTGCGCCTCGCCGAGGGCATCCAGCTGTTCGACGACTGGCTGCTGTCCTCGGCCAAGGAGGCCCGCCCCATCCCCGAGTCCCTCGCTCTCGTGCTCCTCCCGCCCGGCTTCGGGGGCGACGGGACTGGGGACCGGCCGGAGGGAGCGGGAAGAGGGGGGAGAGAGCGGGAAGGGGCGAGGGCGAACGGAGAGGGAGCAGGAGAAGGTGAGGGGGGGGCGGGGAGCGGTGGGGACGAAAGGCTTGGGGATGGGAGAGGGGAGGGGAGGCGAGTGGCAGGGGACAGGGGGAGAAGAGGGGGGGGTGGGAGAGGGAGGGGAGATACGGAGATGGGGGCGGTGGAGGAGGGGAGCTGTGGAAGGGACGAGGGGAGGGAGGGGAGAGGGAGGATCGCGGAGAGGGGAGGGGTCCAGAATTGCCTCCATCCGAACGCGGAGACCTTCCTGAACTCCAGGCCGAGCACGAGCACGGCGATCACGGGAAGGCGAGGCCGCACGAGAGAAAAGCCACGCTCCACGAGACAGATGCGCCCGTTGCCGAAGACGCGATGTGATCTGAAGGGCTGCGCCCTGTGCCGCCGGCTCCTCAGACCGATCCACCTGGTGGTTGCATTGGAGCAGCTTCTAGGGGCGTCCTGGAGACATCCTGGAGCCTCTGGGGCCACCTTGGTGCCATCTTGGTCAGCACTGGTGCTGAATCTAGGCCTCCGATGCCCACCTTGAGGGCATCTTGGGGCCTGTGGTGGGCCACCTTGGGGCCGTCTTGGGCGATATCGGGGGCGTTGTGTTGTCTTGAAACGATCCTAAGACATCTTGGGGAAAGAACATTGGACAGGCAGACAATGTTGAAACCGCTTGTTTGTTTGTCGTGTACCATGGCGGCAGCGCCCGGCACTGCGCGGCTTCGGCCCGGTGCCAGGCGCTGCACCTTGCCGCCTCGGCGGCCCCGCTCGCCATGGCGCTGCGCGGCTCAGGCCCGGCCTTTGGCAATGCGGACGTCAGCGCATCGTGTGTGGCTGCTGCCCGTCTTCACGCGCTGGCCATGCAGGGCAGGTTTTCTCCCTGCAACCACCGACTTCCTGTCGGTCATGAACGGCCCCCTCGTGTGAGGCCGCTCCTCAAGCTACGCTGCTACCTGGTCGTGGACTGGACTACCACCCCGGGCCTCTTCCGCATCACCCGGTGGCACAGCGTTGCACATCGCCTTCGTGGTGCTCTTCTTCCTCCTGGGCGTCGACCTGGTCATGCGGCACGTCCCCCTCTGCAGTGCTCGAGGCTGGCGTTCGCGATGCGCCGTCGACGGCGACACATTATCCTTCGCCCTCCGGGTCTTCGCCCCCGGTACCAGTCCGCGGCGCACCTGCTCCTGCACATCCACTTCAGCACCGCCTGCACCCCGGGCCCCGCCCGCTCCGGCCGCCTGAGGCCCCGCCTTCCTGTGCCCTGTCTCCCTCATTAAAGCTGCGCGTAGCCCGCATAGTTTTTAGCGGAAGAGGTTCGCTTTCGCCCCGCAGATCAAAAATTGTTTGTTCGTCGTGCTTTTACCCTCTCGGGAGCGCCCAGGTGCCCGCCTGGGACACCTGGAAGGCTTCTTCGGGCCATCCTCGGCCGTCTTGGGTTATCGAGGCCCATCACGGTCAGGAGCGTTGGCCGAGCATGTCGCACCGCTGGTTCTGGCCCGCCGCTCTTCGGCGCGACACGCTGTCCAGGTCCTGGTCCCCAAGCGTCACCGTCCCGAGCTGTTCCCATCCCTCCGCCCCGCGGAGCGGAGCGACACGCTACCCGCTTGCACGGCGTAGCGCGTCGCCGGGGCGATAGTTCCTGCGCGTAGGCCCATCTGGTCGCGTGGACTGCGTCCCTGCGGGGATTCTGGGGCAGACCCGAGCAGCAACCAGGAGGCCGAGCACCTCCCCCCAGGTTTTTCCGGAGGGGGCATCACGGGCCCCCCTCGTCAGCAAAATGACGACAGGCTTGCAGACAAGAGAGGAACGTAGTTTTGATCGGCGGCATCTCGGGTCCGAGTTGCGGTCAGGCTACGATGGGACACACGCGAAAGACACACGCGAAGCGAATTGCGGCACGGGCAGGGAAGGGGAGGCAGGAGGAACAGGAGGAGGCGACCGCGCGGCCGGGGGGCCTTCAGAGCGTGAAGTTCTTCGGGGTTCATCTACACGTAAGAGTGACTTTTCGCCGGAGGGACCGTTTGTGCGGGCTCATCGGGGTCCCCCCGATCGCTGAGCGCAATGCGATAGCGGCTGCTCGCGCGCTTGGAGTTGGCCACACTGCGCCCTAGTCCGCCCACCAAAGGCAAGGCCACTCTTGCCTAGGGTCATTCTTGCGCGTAGCCGACGGATGTGCCGGAGCAGGGTCGGCGTACAGCTGGTGGTGCTCCCAGATGGTTGACACGTGCAGGCGCAAGCGAGTCGCGCAAAGGGCCGTGGGGTGCAGGAGCGTGGAGTCTGGGGGAGAGACAAACGAACGATAACATACAATGACATAAGGCAGCAGTCTGGCAGCACGCGTCACAGCCTTGCGCCCCCAGAGGTGGCCACCGGATTTCAGGATAGAGCGAGGCCACACTCGCGTGGCCAGCCACTCCGGCAGCATTCGTAAGCATGTTCGCGAGCATACCTCCAGTCATTACACGGCAAAGCGAATTGATCACAACATTTGCGCCAGAGTTAGTTGGTGAGTAACGGCAGGCTCGCAGTCAAAACCTCCCGCAAAAGGCGCACCCGAAGGCCTTGCACGTATCCCAGTGGCATGAATTGCATTGCAGATTGTCCTCAAGATCCCCGAGATCTTTGAGGTATCTCTTCGCTCCTTTCCAAGGAACGATTCGCAGCGTTCAGTCGACTCAAAGGCCATGTGCCTGGTTGTAGATAAATCGTTTCCGCTGATGTCGCGGAGCGCAGGCGTGAATGCCGCTCGAAACTTGCCCTGCGTAGTCACTCAGAAACACTGCAAAAGCGGGCAGCTACCCACGTGCACTTCAAGCGCTGCTCCGAACCATGCGGCGCGACGCCAGAGCCTGCGAACCAAGCCGGTTGCTTACGGGGAGTTTCGAGCCGTGTGCCCTGCGAGGGAGATATGCGGGACGGGATGCAAGAAGGGGCAGGAAGAGAGAGGGGAGGGGAGGGAGAGGATGAGAGGGAGCGAGTGGATCCGGGGTGGAAGAGGGGAGATGGGAGAGGAGAGCAGGGGGGAGAGGGGAGGGTACCGAGAAATTAGATACGCATGAGGCAGCCCGCCTGGGTCACAGCTTGACACACGTGTGGCCAGTGACGTCTGTCCATCGCTCGGACCTTCTGTGGCCATGCACGTAGGACTTCGCAGGTGCATCCAGCGCTTGGCCTCTGGATGTTCTACATGTGAATCCAACCATGTGTGTTCCCAGCTCTTTGGTGCAGGCAAGAGGGTGGATGGGAGCGGAAGGGAAGGGAAACGAAAAGAAAAGAAGGGGAGGGAGTTGGGACGGGGGAGGCCTTCGTGCAATTCCGCGACGCCCAGTCTGCAAAACCGCCAGGGGCGATGCACAACCACGCATCGAAGTCCAGAGGGGAACACCCGCAAACGAATCATTTTGAAGGAACGATGCTCGGGCCCTTGAAGGAGGCGTCTTCTCGACACCCAACAGGGCTTGCATCGCGTGTGCCTATCTCGCCAGGGGAATGAATCTCTCTTGACGCATGATGGTGTTCCCTTCCCGGGCGTGGTATCACCACGCCTCGCACTCGACAGGCGAGGGGCGTTCTTTTGTGGTCTGAGGGTGGGCCCTTTCGTGACCCTCTCGGACCGTCCCGGGGCCAACTTGAGACTTCAGCGGCAAAGCGGAGACCGACACATTGGGTGTATGTATGTATGTATGTATGTATGTATGCATGCATGTTTGTATTATGCATGCATGCATGCATGCATGCATGCATGTATGTAAGTATGTATGTATGTATGTATGTACGTATGTATGTATGTATGCATGTATGTATGTCAGTATGTATGTATGTACGTATGTATGCATGCATGCATGTAAGTATGTATGTATGTATGTATGTATGTATATATGTATGTATGTATGTATGTATGTATGTATGTATGTATGTATGTATGTAATGTATGTATGTATGTATGTATGTATGTATGTATGCATGTATGTATGTGTGTATGTATGTATGTATGTATGTATGTATGCATGTAAGATTGTATGTATGTATGTGTGTGTGGCCCTTGCCGTGTTTCGCCGGCCGGGCGACACTCGCTGCATTGTTTGTGTCTCCCCCATCTGCCTGGTTTTCTGGCCACCTCCCCAGCACGGGCTACCGGTGTTTGGCCGCTGCTGCTCCCGTGGCACCTCGCCGCTGTCGGTTTATTCCCAGTTGGCCTGTTGGCCTCGGAGCCCACGTTGTTCGCCCCACCTGGCCCGCCGCTCCCCCATTGGACGTGGCCTTCTCGCGTTCCCCGCCTCCAGTTGGCGTTCGCCGCCGCTTGCCACCCCCTTTCTCCACGCCTGTGCCTTTGGCTCGCCTGGGCTCGGCACTCGCCCCTTTGGGCCTCGGCACCCGCTGTGGTCTGGGTGTCGCTTGCTTAGTGCCTCCTCGCCTCGCCGCTGGCCAGGCACGCCGTGGCGCCGGCTGTCGTCTCGCCTGCGCCCTGGGCCCGCCGCTCCCCCACACGGCGTGGCTTCTCTCCTTCCCGCCCTGGCTTGCTGCGCCGTGGCGCATCACCGGGCTGTCTTCCTCTCTCTCTTCCGCGCCTTGCGCCTCGTTGGACCTCGCGGCCTCGGCGCTTCCCACCGTTGCCGACGTTCGGGGTGCCATCCCTTCGGCAACGGGTCTGGGCTCTGGTTTGCTTCCCCTGCTCCCCCCACCGCCGCCCTTTCCGCGGGCAGCCCGCCCCCGCTTCTGCTCTCTGCCGCCCTCGCTTGTGGGTGCCTCCGCCCTTGCCCGCACCCGCCCCTCCCTGCCCTGCGCCTCGTAGGCCTCGGCGCATCGGCATATCCTTGGCCCATGCCTTGGCTCACTGGGTCGGAGCTCTGCCACGTTGCGCTTCTCCACCACCAGCAGCAG